TATAATATACAGTTATATATATTTGATCATATAAGTTATTTATATGATTTATCATGTCTGACACTTGGGCCAAACCACTTGTCAAATGGGAACAACAACAACAACGACAACAACAACAATAACGATAGCGACCGCATGCTGTGATTTTAGATAAATTCATAACTCAAACTCGACTTGTCTTGCCTTCAAAGTTCAAATCACTTGGCGTGTGTGCCAACACAGACACACACAGACTAATTGTGTGTATGTGTGCATATTAATTATTTATTTATGCGTTATTTTTGCGCGCGTTCATTTCGATAAGCTTCAAATGGAGACACAATTTACATTTACAGTTATACACAGTATACTATAAAAGTCGACGCATTGCCAACAGCTGCCCACAAATCTTCATTGTTGTTGCTGTTGTTGTTGTTGTTGTTTTCTTGTTTTGTTTTTGTGTTTGTTGTTTGCTCGCCAACCCCAACAACAACAATAGCGTATCCAAAATCAGCTGTTTTCAGCGATTTCGTATAACGAACTTGAAATAAATGCGAGCGAGCAAGCGATATCTGTGACTCTCTCTCTCTCTCTCTCTCTCTCTGTCTCTCCAGACAAAAGAAGGCGACATTTAATCAGAATACAGCAGCCTCCACAATGGACCCTCAAAGTTGCCAATGCTAGACACCCTCACCCCTCACACCCACACACCCTCCTTCGTCTCTCTCTCTCTCAGTCTCAACCAAGACTTTACACTTGCCGCAGTCACATTTCTTCTTGTGGCTGAATTTAGTTCAGAGTAGTTTGTACTACTTATATACAGAATATATATGTATAGTATATATATATATATATATATATATATATATATGGCTTTAACTGATAACCAGGCGACAGGAAAACGACGGCGCGAGTGGAGATTTGTCGAAGGCCATTCGCATGCTCAACTACATCGCATCAGCTCTGAGGTTGAGGTTTGAAATCTGAGATTGTATTAGCTAAGTGGATGATGAAGAAGAAGAATGGCACCGTTAGAGCAGCCACATTTAAAAGTAACTGTATATAAGTATCATTATGTGGCCTTAAAACAATTATTCTGTTGATTAATTAACTTTTTATATATTGCTAATATAACCTTTAATTTGATATATCCGTCTATGCTGAGATTTTTCATCGAATCAATAGATATTTACAACTCTTTATCACAATAGCTGCACTCACACAAAAATTGCACTGAATTTTAGAAAACCGCCATATTTTTGTCACCTAATTATTCAGGGCTATTTTTCGTTTTTAATTGTATAGATCTCTTCAGTTAAGACTTTTAGAAATCTCTTTCACAAGAATCTCTTTTAAAGAATATTTGAATCTTCCTTTACATGCAGAAATAGTTACCAATATTTTTGAAAATGAATTCAAAATAACAAATTTAAATTTATATTCAAAACTAATCTAAAAAAATATTTATAACACTCTCAAAGAATTCCAGTCAACTTTTTTTGTTTTTTGCAATGCGCCTTAGAAAACAAAGATTTCCACACAGCTTTGCTTAACAACAATCCCTCAGAGATCATATCAGCTTGTCATCTGTATATTTTATTTTTTTTTAGCAAAGCTATAATTGAATAGCTATGTTTGTGATATGATTTATACATTCTACATGATGACTCTTCAAGTGAATCAGTTGTTCTTATACTATAATTCTTAAAAACCAAGTTTCCCAACACACTTTACGCACCAATCCTATCAGCACTGACCCAATTTATGGTGACAGTTGATAACTTTGAAGCGTTGCTTTAATAATAGTTCATTTGTGTTTTTGAAAAAAAAAAACAGTTAAGCAATTTACTCGACACTCTAAGCTGTCGCCCAGCGGCGCCAGTCGGAAATATTTCAATTGGCAGTTGTCGAGTGCAAAGTCCGCAAAACTGACTGCAAATCTTTAAATTGAGCAAAATCTGACCAAACACCTGAGCGGTAAACTGCAACCGAAAAAATAGCACCCCCGCTACCCCTTTTCCTAGATGCCTTTCGTAGAATTCAAGTACATGCGGAGTGCACTCAGCAAAAAAATATATATAAAGAAATAAATCATTTATTAAATCAAAATTTCGAATGAAAATTCTTAAAATTAAGAAATTCTTAAACATATTTATTACTCCATTTTTGATTTTCAAGAAATATATTTCTGATAAGTAGAAATGCAAAACCCATATTAAATTTGAATATCAATTTTTTTTATTACTGTTTTTCTATGTGTAGCACTGAAATTTTTGCATGGAAACGTGATAGCAAAAATTGTTGTTGTCGATTGCTGTTGACCAGGCCAAGACGAAGCTGGTTGCTGCCACAGTGCAGGAGCCGCATCTGCTTGTGGAATTTTTTTATCGTTAAGAAAATGTGTGTAAAATAAGTGAAACTATTGGAAGCTGCTCTCCGCTCACTGTGTGTGTGTGAGTGTGTTTGTGTGTGTGCGCCCAGTGTGACCAGTTTGTTTTGTTGCGGCAGCTAATGCCACCACTTTTGATAAAATGTTGGCCTGGCCTAAGCCTGTTGCTGCTGCCATCGCTGCTGCTGCCTCTGCTGCCGCTGCTGATGACCAGTAGCCACTTACAGCTGCAGCAGCAAATTATTGCCGCATTGCTGGCTTGTTGTTATCAGAAGCGGCAGCAACAGCATCGCCTTGTGATTTGCCTGGCCACAGAGCCACATCAACACAATTCGATGCACAATTCAGAGCGAGAAACCACCGAACCCGCCTATACCCTATAACCAATAAAATAAAATAAAATGAAAAAAAGTATCAAAAAGTAATGAATGAAGGCAGACATCTATTTATATATATATATATATATATATTATACATTTATGTCTAATTGTAAGCAAGCGCCGATCTTGATTTGAGAAGTAGACTATTAAAACTTGGAATGTAGATTTAATTTAAAAATTAGACTTCTAACTGAAACTTCGAATGTAAATTTGTAAGACTTGAAAGACCAAGACTCAAACGACTTCAGCATTTTTGAGATAAAACTAAATACAAATTTCTATTAAATTATAGACCTACCAACAATATTTATTATCAAAGACTGCTCAACCAAATATTTTTGAGTTAAAGCTTTATAAAAATGTGTATTTTTGTAGAGACATACCGTCACAAAATATATATCAGTTGCTGCCTAACCCAAACAAGAAACAAATGAATTCATTTTTTATGAAATGCAAATTATAATAATTTAAAAATAGCCAAATAACCTTAACAAAATTTTTGATATTTATAGATTTGCTAACCTCGCACTCTGAGCCACCAAATTGAACAGCAGACACAGATCAAAAATATCTCTCTTAGAACATAGATAACTGACATACAGGGCATTCTCTAAGTTGACCACTCTCGTCTCGAGCACTCTTACTTGATATTTTTTTGTTTTTGTCGAATTTCAGAAAGTGGAAGACCTTCGTCGTTGCTGCTGCTGCGGCTGCTGCCGCTGTCGCTGCCGCTGCCGCTGCTTGCCACTTGTTGTTGCTGCTTAGTTTGTTATCAGGTTTGGGGGCCCCGCTTCATTTGTGGCTATCAATTTCACACCTAAGCCAACGAGTTTCTAAATCGACGAGCCGTGCTCGCTGAAGAGCAACCAGCTGCGGAGCAGCTATGATTAGCAGCGATCTCTGTTTTATTTTTGGCAAACAATCAGAGACTCTGTTACAGTCAAACAATCGCACACAATAATTCCAGTCTTTGTATGCAAAAATGTCATACATATCAAATAAAACAGTTAATGGATGCTGTTGATAAATGTCAAAGGCGTGCAAAGTGAATATCGGGTAATACGATAGGGCCAATAGACTCACACCGAGTGAATTGACAAATGTGGAGCATGGCTTATGGCTTATGGCATATGGCTTATGGCTTATGGCTTATGCAATATGCTGATCGGCCTCGAGGCGATGGCAAATCGATAACTATAACTATAACGATTATAAATAACCATAACACGCCCAAAGCCAACCAGTCACATGCAATTATTCAATTAGCCAAATGGCGTCATAAATTATCAAGTCTACGACTGCAATATATGATCAGCATATCGGCTAAGGGCCAAGCATTATCTACAACCAAAGCCAACCCAACCCAAGTCAACCGAAGCCAAGCAAAAACAGTAACCAATGCCAGTGTCAATTGCTAATTGTTAATTGCGGAATGCCGTTTGATTTAGTTCGTCATTTGACTTTATAAATATGCAGGCGTTTTATGACTTTGATTCTATAGCTAAAAACCATTTTTCTGTATACTGATCATCTCTTTTTGAAATGATTAGCATATTCTTTTTAAAAGCTTTATAAAATAAATGCTTATATCAAAATTATTCCAAATGCCTGAATCTTAATTCTTTTCTATATACTAAAGGCACTTTTATTACCTTCAGAATCTAAAAATAATGGGGAAAAAAACAGGTGGTATAAGAAAGATTCTAAATTAACTCAAATCGTAATTTTGTTTTTAATACAAATTTCAATATTTTAATAAAAACATTCCACTTGAGCATTTTGAACTTAACATTTGGAAATCTCGATATCAGGTTAAAGTTAATCTTGAATAAATTCCACATTCATATATTTGAAGATGAAATAAAATATTATTCGGTTTTCAAGTATAGCCAGGAAATCTTTAAAAACCCAATCATAAATCATATTGGTAACTCTATCTTGTTTAATTACATTATTCAAAATTTTAGTAACTTAATCAATCAAGTCATAAATCACTGGCATCATAAATCAGACAAACCATATGTATAAAAGGTTTCCCTAGATCAAATTTCAATTCTCGAATATTGAAATATTTAAAAAGTGGTTATAAATTATTTCTTTAACTTAACTTAACTCAGCTGAATGCTATTGAAAGAGCTTTAGGCAAATTCGAAGTTGATGCGCAGTCACCAGGTCGTATGCGTATTATTTAATATACTATATATTTATATATATATACATATATATATATATGTGTGATTTGTTTCGCTTACCTTGTGCACCTGCTGCACGTCTTAAGAACGTTTTAAAATCCACAAATCCTTTGGCTGCAAATGCAACAACAACCAATTTTGGCAATTCACAAACGTTGCATACATTATATTTATATACACACACATGCATATATATATATATATATTAATATGTGACTTCTCAACTTCTCTATATCTCTAGATATATATATATAACGATTTTTTATTTATAAGCCATACATATTTTATATATATTTTTATGTAAATTAAATAAATCACTTGCACTTCACATGTTGGCCAATGATTTTGGCTTTTCGGCTATTGGCTTATAGCCGTACACACACTAACACTCACAAGCACACATGGCTATTATATGGTAATCGTATTGGTATCGGTTGGTATCGGTATCGGGCTTTTGGCGACGTCAAAAATCGCGGAACAATCGAAACGCCTAAAGTAAAGTGGAGACGACCCAAGATAGTTGAGAGACGAGACGAGACGAGACGAGACAAGACGAGGCGTGGCTGGGCGGGAATGTATTCGCTACGAGTCTTGAAGCTGTTTACTTTTCTTGAGCTCAGCTGCTATCTCTGATAGCTCTGACTGCTGCGTGTTGTTGTTGTTGTTGTTGTTATTGTTGCTGCTGCTGCACAGCCTCAACTTATGTTTTACAGCACGCAAGAACCGCGAATTATTAAAGCCGAAAAGAAATATGTGCTGCTAAAGCATATGTACATATACATACATATATATATATTTATATATATATATATATATATGTATATATATATATAGATAGTTAGACAGACGATGGCTAGATATGCAGATTTATGTGCTGGAGCCCTGCCTTTAACGAGTTAGATCAAGTTATGACAAGCTACGCTTGTTGTTTCTGATGCTGTTGTTGTCGTTGTTGTTATTATTGTTGTTGTAATGCCTTGGCTTGTAAATCTTTTTTTTATATATTTATTTTTTTTTTATTTTGGACAAGCGACGAATCTTTCGGTTCCGTACAACGAGCGCTGAGCGCAAAAAACTGAATGAGCGTCCAAAGCGGCCGGGCAAGGCAAACAGGCGGCAACAGTCGAGCCACAGTCGACGACACACAGACACACAAACACACAGACGCAGCAGCAGCAACAGCAGCAGCAGCGAGCTAGTTAGTTACTTAGTTTTGAGCGCGTAGTAGTGAGAGTCGATCGAAACACACACACACTCACACACACTCGCACACACATATCAAGTTGCTTAAGTCGCTCAAGCTCAAGCGCCATTTAAGTTGAGTAATTAAAAGCAAGCAGCGATTTGCATGTGTATGCATACACACACGTGTGTGTGTGAGTGCGATTAATTATTAATCAAGCCCAAAAAGCAACAGCAGCAACAACAACAACAATAAACAAACAAACAAGTCCGACTGTCCCAGCCAGACAATTACAAATATTCAACTCTCTCAGATCGCAGCTCAGCTCAGCTCAGCTCAGCTCACATCTCGCAGCTACTTGCGACTTTCTTTGCTGCTCTCCGGCAGCACAGATCTCTGTTGTTGTTGTTGTTGTTGCTGCTGCTGCGGCTACTGCCGCTGCTGCTGCGGTTGATTTGGTTACCGAAATCGGCATCTCAACTGGTTGCACTCTGCATTCACATCGAACTGGCTGCCGCTGCCACTGCTGCTGCTGCAAATGTAAATCTAAATTGATTGCAAAATGTTTGAGACTTGAGCGTATTCATTATACGCCATGTGAATTGGACACAAATAGCGTTGCCAGATTGAGTATGGTATATGCAGAGCAGTTGACAGCATTATGGTGGTTTCCTTTTTATTACTAATTAAAATTACATATTTAAATTTCTAGATTATTAAAGGTCGTTTTCTAAATAGTTTGAATATTCTAATTTTTTAATTTACTTATATTAATTAATTAAAATTAAGTTCATAAGCTTATAAACTATTATAGCTTGGTTCCTTAAACAGTTTGAACATTTTTCATCTTTTAAATTATTTAAATTTCCTTTTACATTTGGTTTGGGCTTTGTAATAAATATCAATAATACATTTTTGCGAAAAGTAGAAACATCATCAAGATGCTCAGAAACTAAAATATTCCCAAAAACTTCTGGATTTTTATAAGTTAATAAAAATTTATAAAGCTTCTTTAGCATAGCAAAAATATTCTTAAATCACATTGAGCAAACTTTTCTTCTAATGAATTCTAGCGCGCATTGCGCATACGCACCGTTAACAAGCAGCGAGTTGACTGTTGACTGACCATCTGGCAACGCTGGTAACCAAATTAATGTAGCATGTTGCCAGTAGTTGTTGTTGTTGCCGCTGGTAGCGTAATTAAAATATTGCACTTGTTACTTTTGCCAGTCGCCGACTCAGTTCTGCGTGTTGTTGTTGTTGTTGCTGCTGCTGCTGCTTGTCTTAGCATGCTCTTTCCTATATTGTTTTTGCCACAACAGCAGCAGCAGCGGCAGCAGCAACAACAACGAACGTTGTCGTCGTCGTCGTCGTCGACGTTGTTGTCGTGTATTAAAACTTGTTCATTGGAATTTTCTAATAAATCAATAAACGCAGACAACACATTGTGAGTGGTGTGTAACGGTTGAGGGCATGCGGGAGATGAGGAAGGGTGGTCACTGAAGATGCGGCTTATATGGACGGTAGGTGAACCAGGTTGGATAGTGTGGGGAGAAGAAGAGGAGGGGAAGATGGGAAGAGGGGGAGTGGGAGGGGGGGGGGGATGGGTGCATGGCACACTGCTGGCGGCGTAGGCATCGAAGATTGCGCATTATAAAAATAGCCGATAATTTTTTTTATACATTTTGTTTTAGGTTATGGAAAAGTTTTTGTTGCTATAAGTTGTTGACAGCAGCACCAGCAGCAGCAGCAACAACAAACCACGATTGCAGCTGCAACAAGAGCTGCTGCAGGAGTGTGCAACACTTTCACACATTGAGGAACTTGCATTTCCGGACCACAACGCTTCCGGGGGGGTGAGGAAGTTTTTTTTTCTTTATTTTTGTTATTTCTCTCTCATAGATTGACAGTATAATTATGCAATTTTCAGTGCTCAAATAAATATATATTATATATATGTATATTTATATATATTTATACGCACAGAAATATATATAATATATATATTTGTATAGATATTGAAAGCAAAGCTCATAACTGAAACCAAGGCAAAAACGTTTTAAATTTTTTTTGCTTTTTTCAATAAAAAGTATATATGGGCATATATGTATATATGTATATATTTGTTGTATTATTTTTTATGAGCTGCTTTGCCTTCCACTTCGTCAGCGTCATCGGGCTGGAGACAAACAAACAAAGCGGAAAAACAACTTTTTGCTTTAATTAAATTATTATGCTGGCATTATAAATTTTTATGCCAGGCTTATAACTTGTGCGTTTTCATAATCAGCCGCAAATCACATATATAATTTTTTTTTCTATGTGTTAACCAACCAACAAAAATATTTATGATTTTGTGGCTGGCAACATTGCCGCTATCAACATTGTAGCTAGCTGGCTACACACACACACACAGACACACACATATGCAAATGGGCCAAATCGAAAGCAGCTTCGTTCGTCACAACTTTAATGTAAATAAAATGGAAATTCCTGGGCAAAAGAAGAAAAAAAATTGAAAAAGATTGTGAGCAGAATAAAAACAAAACAAACAACAGCAACAACAACAACAAAATGCAAGGCAGCACGAAAAAAATAGTTGTAGAACAGCTCGGCGAGGCACTTGTTAAGATGACTGCCTTGTTAAACGAGCCTGCAACACCCCAACAACAGCAGCAACAACAAGAATAAACAATGTTGCAATGCTTAATTATTTCAGCGGCAAGGAATTCCTCGACGCAAACTTGAACTGCTTCTGCTTCGGCTGTTGCAGTTGCAGCCTGTTGCCGCTGCTGCTGCTGCACTTAAGTACGGGTATTGCGGCCAAGCGTGCGGCAGGCAACGCGATTGTTGCCAACACTTGAGGTCGTCTGCTTAGACTCCAAGCGCCTTAGCCTCCACCTCGCTTTAAGCCTCTGCCACAAACTCTGCCACTGCCACTGCCTTTGCCTCTTCTCTCTGCTTCTGCCTCTGCCTGCGCCTCTGTCTCTGCTTCACATTGGTCAACGGCACCGACGCGTCTATGGCCATGTTACCAGTTGTGCTTGCTTTTTTTTGTTGACATACCCTGTACTTATTGAAAATGTCTGGAGAGGGTTTAATTGATAACGATGACGGGTAGCTATAGTCATATACGAGTACATCTCGGAAGCAATAAGAAATGGAGTCCTCAAACTTGGCATCTAAGTTCACCATACGCAGCACAGCTTTGTTTTGCTACTTGAAAAACTCATCCAATAATATTAATCTCCATTTTTTGTGTTACGACACAAAGTGAGGCCTACAACTCCATTCGAAAATGACAAAACCCGCATTAAGTGAATTCTAAAGAAGACTATAAATAGTTTCTCACACAGATCCTGTATATGTTTAGAATTAGATGCTTCTTGCAGGATATCCGCAAGTCGTCCACTCTTCCTTGGCACACACTCTTATATGCCTGTTGTTGTTGTCTGGCGCACCTATTTGTAATGCATTAATAGCCAGTCAAGAGGCAGCAACAGCAGCCAGCAGGCAGCAGGCAGCCGGCAGCAATTGCAGCTCAACTGAATGCAACAGATTGACATTAAGCTGGCTTCTGGCCAGCGTTGGCCATGAAGGGGGCAACCGCTTGGCTGGGGATGAAGATGATGAATTTGATAAATGGCAAGCTGCACATTAACACTGCCACGGGCTCTGAGTAATACCCAATAATTGGTAATTGGCGTAAGATCATAGGAAAATGCATATGATTTAAGAGTCATTGTTTTTTTTGTTTTTTTTTTTTTTGTTTTGTGGGATTGCCGAAGCTCAACTTTTGAACTTATGCCGTAAAAAATACAAAAAGCTTAAGTTCGAGATAGGGAAAGGCCTTAAGTAGCTGATAGTATGTGTCTATTTTTAAATGCAAAAGAAACTGACGAAAATATTATGATCACGTATTCATGTCAATAAATACTTTATGTTGAATTTAAAAATAGAAATTGAATTGAAAAACATATTGATAATAACAATAAAATATTTCCACTAACAAAAACTCAAAAACTCAAAAATTCTTAATTATTTGTTTTCTGCCACCATTATTTGTAGTACGACAGACTTTGTTAGGGAGTGAATTAAACTCGACATATTTCACAAATATTTCTTTGTCACATTAACATTTTGAGAAATTTTTCAACAGTTCAGTGCACTGAATTCGTTTGGGGGTTGGCCACAAGGGTTGTCCAACCACGAAGTATAAATCCCTCGCTGGAGACAGATGCTTCAAATTAAGAAATTCCATTGAATGATGAATCATGGCCAAATAAGCGAATGCAAATTGTTTTACTGGCAGAAACAGATACACAAAAAGCATGTGACAAAGAGACAAAGGCATTAATTGAACTTGCCACAGTCCGATTGCGATTGCGATTGTTAATGTTAGGCAATGTGCTCATAGATACGTTGCGATACAATGCGATGCGGTGCGATGCGATGCGAATATGATTCCATATGCGATGAACTTTGCCATTGTCTAGACAAATTAAGCACAGCAGCAAATTGATGTCGCCAATGGAAGAGTCGAGCACATATTTCCAATTTGTGTGTTTGGCCATGCGGCGTATACGCAATGTGTGTGTTCTCTTGTATGCCGAGTGTGTGTGTGTGTGTGCGTGTGTGATAAGAGTCGTCAGCTTGTCTGGTCAGCAGCCAGCAGCCAGCAGCTGAATGTTGAAATGGGTGTGATGTCATAAGTCAACATCTCAGCTGCCCCAAAAGTCTATTTGATATGTGCTGTGCTGTGTAAGTGTGTGTGTGTGTGTGTTTGTACTGCGTATTGAAGATCTGATCGGAGCGGATCGTTAATTAAAATTGCCAGCAGAGAAGAGTGCGAGTGCGAGAGAGCGAGTCCAAGTCAGAGTACTTCATTAGCCACGCAGTTGCCACGCGCAGCAGCTCTCCAATGCTTAATTAATAAATCAACGCGACACTTGCACTCAATGGCCGCAGCAACAGCAACAACAACAACTTCAACATGATGATGCTGCTCAAGAGCAGATGTTCAACCCGCTCTGAGATTGTTGCTACGCCAGCGGGGCCGACAAGGCAGACAAATTGACGCGACATTCCACAGCTGCTGCTTCTTCTGCTGCTACTTCTTCTGCTGCTACTTCTTCTGCTGCTACTTCTTCTGCTGCTGCTGCTGCTGTTGCTCTTCCAAGTCATTTTTTATTTAGGGGATAGGCTGTGTTTAATATATTTATGCTATTGTTAAATATAGATGCTGACCAGTCGCATCAGAACTACGTACCACAGCAGGCACTAAACGGAAACGGAAATGTTTCTAATCGCTGCGCAGGGATCTGTGCGTGGGAGTTGCCCTAAGCAACTGTGGGCAGTCACAGAGAGAGACAGTAAGAGAAAACAGAGCGAGAGATAGAGAGAGGGTGAGAGCTTAATTCAATTCAGTTTCTTTAATTAGAATACTGCAATCTTAAATTGAGTTTCCTTGCAGGCACAAGCACTGCTCAGCTGCGTTGCATCTTAAGATCTAGATACATTAATTTTCATTCATATTTTTATCCCCATTTTAATACTGCAGGCATAATTCCAAATAACTAGCCGTGACATTTTTAGCATTTCTTATAGTTTATTTTCTACACTTAAGAAATTAGATTTATCAAAGTTAATGTAGTATTCATCTAGAGGCTTAATCATGACAGAAATCAAAATTTTAAGAAGGCTGTCGAAAATCGGAAAATCTGTTAAAACAATCTAATGACATATATTTTTGATGTACATAGATTAATTAATACCATATCATTTAATTAACTCGATACATTTTGTTGTCGTTTCATTTAGATTCAAGCTCTTATTTTTAAATAATACCAAAAATTCAGGATGTTTCAATCAGTTTATATCTAAGTTCCAAGAACTAGTTGACAAAAGCTCTATGAGTGATTTTATTATTCTACACTTCAGTTATTAGAACAGCGTTTGATGTGCCTGAAAAAACACTTTCAGCTGAATGTTATACGCCTTTAATGGATTGTAATTAGATAGTCGGATTTATCAAGTCAGACTGTAATTCAAAAGAACTGTAAACTTAGTCATCGCTCAGCGGCAACCGCAGCTGCAATTTGCTGTTGTTGTTTATTTTTGTTTATTCATTTATATGGTTAATAACAAAGTTAATCAAGCAAAAATAGCACAGAGTGTGAGATACTGCAGGCGAGAATGTGATTATTTAATAATTGTGCCAAATGCGCGGCAAAATAATTATTCTAAAGAGCATTAACAGCAACAACAATAACAGCAACAACTATATCGATAACAATAGCAACAAAATTGTGCTTGAACCAATCAAAAGCTAAAAAAAGCATGAATGATTTTCAGTCTTCGTATAATCGAAGATTAAATGCTCTTAAAAATCGTCATTAACATTGTGTATAAACAAAGTCATCGTATATATACAGAACATATCTGATACTTCTGAAAATCATACTCAAAAAATAAGAAAGGGATGAGTTATATAGTTTTGGGTCGATAAGCTTAAGCTACTCGTAAATTAATTAAACACATAAAAAAATCAGCTAAACCAGTTTTCTGTCATCTGTCATAACCAAATTCAAATACTTGCTGTAAGGGTATTTTAAGGAAAGCGAAAAAAAACGCAATTATAGAAAAATTCAACAAAGTGTCAGTTGATAAATTGTAAATTGCAATAGGGCGCGCGTCGGGCGTTTTAGTTTATTAGTTGTTGTTGTTGTTGTTATTGTTATTGTTGTCTATAGTATATAATAGTTGCTAAAAATAAAAGCTATACAAATAAATTTACATTTTTAATTGCAATTATCGCTGGCTATTGTTGTTGTTGTCACTATTGTTGTTGTTGCTGCTACTGTTTGCCTTTGGGGTCTTAAACAATTAAGATGATTTATTAGCAGCGCATTCTTAAGAGGCGCAAAATACAATACAAAAACAATACAAAAGCGAAACAAAAAACAAAAAACAACTAAAATATTTATGCTTTATAATAATCATATATGAGTATATTTTTTTTTACATACAGCAGATAGATATATCATTTGATTTATCACACATTTATGAGAATAGCCATAAAATCAACACAATTCATCTGGTAGCCAAAAAATATATTATTGCTGATTGCTGATTTCATAAGACACACATTCTTTGTATTTGAATTTTTTTGTATTTTAATTTTTATTGAGAGGAAAAAGCTAATTGCGATTTTATGCTTGTCACTTGAGCATAAAGAGCACAGAATAGAGAATTAGCGTATTTAAATGCATATTAAAAACGTTAATGAAACGAGTCGTAAAAATTCATAAGAACATTAAGCAGGAAAATCGTAAAAACTGTCTGCAACACTTATTAAACAAATTGAAACTATGCCACGCCGAGTTTCAAGATCAAACGCCAAAAAACCCAACCCCAACTATTACGGCACAACCAAGAAATGTAGATCCATTACATTGGTGCCAGTGTGTCCCATAATCAGATGATGTTCCCCATCCTCCAGTCGCTTGTAAAAATTGTAGCTATCACAATTGCGCAGGACCTCAGCCAGCTCGTCGAGCGTATGGCTGCTTAGATAGGATTCAATGACACCACTATCACCAATGGCACCTGCAGCATCCGTTGGGCCATCAATGCCATCAGTGCCGGCGCTTAAAAAACTGCACCCACTCAGCGTCTCATCGCGATGCAGCATCTGTGACATCAGCAGCGCCAAATGCTGACTGCGTCCACCCAAACCCTGCCCAGTGACCTGTGAAAAAAATGACAAATTAATTAAATGGTTCACTTCAAGTAAGAAACTGATTGCTGTTGTTCATTTCTCTAGATCTAGATTGACTCACCTTGATGACCGGTTCGCCACCACAGATGAGAAACATTGGCGCCTTAGTTGCCACATGCTGTTCGAGTGCTTTCAGAAAATCCTGAAAGCTCTGCTCGCTGTAGGCAAATCTTTCGCGTAGTTGCTGTTGATTGATTGTGCGCTGCTTGAACTCCTGTATGCCATGGAGCAATCGCTGATAATCCGCAGCAACGTTATTGATATCACCTTGAATGGCGCAGCTGAGCACACAGGATATGTAGCCCAGCTTGGTGGCTTCCTGCACAGCCGCTGTGGTGGCTAAAACATTGCTGCCCACAACAAAAACTTGGCCATTATCAACAGTTTGCTGTTGCTGCTGCTGCTGCGCCACAAATAGTTGCTGCAGCTGCTCCGATAATTCAGGCCACACTTGGTGCCTCTTTAGTATCTCCGCAGTTGATTCACCGCCTTCACTTGGTTGCACTGTGGGTCCGCTGGCAATCAGCTCCAGTGGATCACCAACAATGTCGCTCAGCACAAAGGTGATTATCGCATTTGCCTTTCTGGCTGCCTGCGCCAGGCGACCACCTTTAATCTCCGAGCAGGCAATGCGCACCGTGTTCAGCTCCTGTATGCTCGCTCCACGCTTCATCAACTTATCCACAATGCTGCGCTTGTCCTGTAGCGTCAGCGGTGCTTTGGGAAGTGGCAACAGCGCCGAACCACCGCCAGAGATGAACACGAAGAGCACATCCTTGTCAGTCATGCACTCAGCTAGCTTCTTTATTTCCTGTGCCGCTTTCAGTGCCATCTCATCGGGCAGATTGTTGGCTGCACCCTCGTATATAACCATCTTTGGGCAGATGGGCTGTTGTTTGTACTGCTGCATGCTGCCAAGTGGCACACTGAGCACACCACCAGCGGCATATTGGCCCAGATCGTATTGCACTTTGTTGGCCATGGCCAGGACAGCCTTGCCAAAACCCACAATATGACAGGTCTTGTCAGTTATATCATGCTCCCGTCCGTCCAACTTGATATAGACACGCTGGTCCTGCTCTTGAGGTCGCAAATCATATCTATTATAGTTAGCGAATATATTTTCCGGATGCACCGAATTGACCGCATATTGAAATACTTGGCGCATGTGCGTCCATGCTTGTTTCTTGGCCATCTTCTTCAGTAGATCCTTTCAGTAATTCTACAAATATTAAATTGTAATCAATTTTTTTTCTGCAGATAATCTTTTAATTTTAAAATCTTATCATTATTCAAATATCCCTCTCCACATGCAATTTAATTCGAGATCGATAACAATATTTCGATAAGCTTGCAGGATTTGGTGTCGGTTCGATTAAACTAGCCGAAAGGGAAACAAAGTCGTGGCTTTGTTTACATCTGTTTTATTTTGAATATAGCTTATATCATATCTTATATCACTTGTAAATACCTTTATTGAATTTTAGGAAGCAAAGATGTTTTTTGCTATGCCCTTCCAATGGAAAAATATGTCTTAACTTATCATATTTGTAATCAGTGGCCGGGTCAAATTCTGTAGGTGAAACACAACTGTTGTTGTTTACTGAAAATATACTATTAGGGATGGTCCTTATCGGCGAGTGATGTGCAACTGGAAAACTATCGTGTCTCTGCATCACAATACTAAGCTCGCTAAAAATGCGTTATCAATGAAAAGTAGTTACAACCAACTTACAACAATTGATATTCCTACTGCATTTAAAAATAGTTATTTTATTCATTATTAACAGGAGTGTAAATTACACTGATATAATATTAATTTAATACACACCACATCTATCGGAAGTTATGGTTTAACATCGCCCACTTGCGGCTACTCACTGTGCTAGCAGACAAAAGCTGGCAGCTTTGACAATGATGCTGACTACTCAAGCGAACCATAGATGGCGACAGCAGCAAGCACTGATAGCAATTCAAAAATGTAAATATCAAATTAACCAATGACAAATTTCATTCTTTTTGACCCAATTTGCAACCACACAAAAAATGTGCGAATTAGTAATAATGCTGCTGCTGCGGTGCAGGTGTGTGTCGTGTGGGTGCTTACATATTAATTCACATTGGGACAACGCAAAAAAAAGATCTTATGTCTTTGATATGGCGACAGCTTTGGCAGTTTAAATAGCAACAACTTTCGCTCCTCGACACACAGTTCAACTAGCAGTTTGCAAACATGAAGTCGTCGCTATTCTTGCTGCTCGGTAGGCTTTAAATTATTCGCCACATTTTGGATTCATTAAAGAATTATACTTCTAATTTAGCTGCTTTTTGTGGCAGCATTGCCAATCCACTGCTGGGACTCGTAGATCCTGCTTGCTTTGTGGACAGAAGCGTTGAGTGTCCCAATTCGAATGTCACCTTCTGGCTGTACTCCAAGTGGGTAACATAGGGATTTAATATATAGTTAATTTCTTCATTTACTTCCGATTGTAAATAGCTCCACTCGTGATACACCTGTGCAGTTGGATCCACTCGAACTCAATCCTTGGGACTTTCAGCCGCCGCGTCCTGTAAAGATTCTGCTTCATGGCTATACAGGACATCGTGATTTTGCTCCAAATAATCACATACGTCCTGCCCTATTGGATAATGAGGATGTGTATGTGATATCCATTGACTATGGCCCACTTGTGCGTTATCCTTGCTACATGCAGGCAGTAAGTAATCTTCCTTTGGTCAGTAGATGTCTCGCTCAGTTGATTAATAATCTCCTGGAGCGAGGTATTGTTCAGCATGAGTTGCTCCACGTGATTGGCTTCAGTTTGGGGGGTCAAGTTGCTGGGCAGACAGCCAACTATTTGAAAAGGAAACTGAAACGCATCACAGGATTAGATCCAGCCAAGCCTCTATTCATATTGGGCAGCAATTCGAGACGTTTGGATCCTGGGGACGCTGAGTTTGTGGATGTGATTCACACGGATACCTTGGGAAGAGGCATGATGCGTCCCATGGGACATGTAGATTTCTATCCCAATTTTGGACCATTGCAGCCTGGCTGCTTGGATGAGAATCCCAGTGATCCGGGCAGCTGTAATCATGAGCGAGCGCCGCGCTTCTATGCCAAGTCCATCAATTCTTCGGTAGGTTTCTGGGGTCGCCAGTGCTCCAGTTGGTTGATTCACATCTTTGGACTCTGCTCCACTCAAGCGCAACAAGCTCTGATGGGTTATCACGTATCTGAGGATATGAGTGGCTCGTTTTTTCTTAAGACGAAGAGTGATCCACCTTATGCTATGGGCAAGCTGGAGGACACGGATAATAGCAAATATTTGGCCAAGTTCCGATTGAATCAGAAACACAATGAAATCGACAATGATTTTGAACTGGAGCTGAGCGAATCCCTTCCAGAGCTGGAGGACAATGAACTGGATACCGATGAGCTAGAGAAACAATTGATCTGGCAAGAGCAGGAGGCACTCGATGAGCCCCTGTTTAAGTCCAGTTTGTGATAAAAGTAATTTATTATGAGAATAGCTAATTATTTAATTACCAACTAATCTACTAAAATGATGTTATATTTATTTAAATTTTACCGAAATATATGAGGCACAAAAAACTTTTAAAAACAATTACTAGAACAGAGAAGATTAATTACTTTCTCAAAACAGAGTAAAAAAATCGTTAATGGGATTTGAATACACGCTGGCATAAAATCGGTTCAAAGTTGATGGCATTTTCAAATTGTCGAAAATTGATTTTGACTTTATTGTTTTATACTGAAATTTATCTTTGGATTTAATCGATTCGATAACCATCCTGTAGGCGTTCATTGATAATATCATAGAGGGAGGTATTGTTCAAGACGACGGTATCCATGTGATTGGCTTCAGCTTAAGGGCTATGGTCGCCGGCCAGATAGACCAATTATTTTTTGCATATTAATTCGATAATTCATATTAATTATTATGCGTCTTCATGGATCAAATACTTTTCGGCATTAGTTGGCAAGCTCAGTTCTATCATCAACTTGCGAAACGAACGTTTAACCCGCAGAGGCGAGCATAGTGCCGAGTGGGCGTGATCTTGAGCTAGAACCAAAACCTTGACTCCTTATCAGTCCCCACTCCATAGGGGGCTCATTTCCCATACAGTCGTCAATGTCGGACCAAGTTAATTTAATAGAATTAACATTAGACACAGCGTGCAAACCACTCACAACTCTCGCAATGTGCAAATATCGGCTTAACGTAATCCTCCCACTATTACTCGTAGTTTTCGTTGGGAACTGTGAGTCCCAGCCCCAATTTCTGCCAGAGCTGTGCATATTTGCCGAACACAAGTGTCCCAATTCACGCATTAGCTTCTGGCTCTACACCAAGTGAGTAAATATTACAGAATTCCAATTTAATTGATTTTTTTTGATTTAGTACAACACATAAGTTTAGATACAAATTGTAAATCTGTCAGTTAAAATGTTGATTCGTGTGATCGCAGCTCTAGCAGAGATGAGCCCATTCAGCTGAATCCACTCAATCCTCTGGCGGAACTATTCGAGCCTCGTTTACCGCTTAAGATACTCATTCATGGCTTCAATGGCAGTCGGAGTGTGACGCCCAATCTGGAGGTGAGGGATGTGCTGTTGCAGACGCAACCTGTGCATGTCATCTCAGTGGATTATGGAAGTCTAGTGCGCTGGCCCTGTTATTATCCCTGGTCGGTGAAGAATGTACCAGTAGTGTCCAAGTGTTTGGCACAATTCATTGACAACCTGCTACTTGCTGGCATATATGAACGAGAGGAGATTCATTTAATTGGCTTCAGTTTGGGCGCCCAGGCGGCCGGAATGGTGGCCAACTATGTTAGTAAACCACTCGCACGTATTACGGGATTAGATCCAGCTGGACCTGGTTTCATGACCAATTGGCAGCAGGATAAGCTCGATGCCAGCGATGCAGACTTTGTCGACGTGATACACACAGATCCTTTTTTCTTCTCCACGCTGCCATCTATGGGTCATGTGGACTTCTATCCCAATCTCGATCAGCTTAATCAGCCTGGTTGCAGCTACGTAAATCAGTGGCGCTTTTACAATTGCAATCATTTTCGAGCTGCCGCCTACTATGGGGAGTCCATCAGTAGCGATCGAGGGTTCTGGGCTCAGCAGTGCGGTGACTGGATGCAGTATTTTATGCAACGTTGCGGCCGCTACTCCAATATACCCAATACACAAATGGGTTACTTTGTTGATCCAAAGTAGGTTGCAATTTAATTTAATGGATATGAGCTCTCTAATTTTTTTTTTCTGCAGCGCTGCGGGTTCATTTTTTCTCAGCACAAATGACAAATATCCCTATGCCAAAGGACCACTCATCGATGTGGTCATTGAGGTGGCAGAGCGTTGAAATTTCACCTGCTTCTAAGTTCCTGCTCCGATTTAAGTGTGGCTGTAATCGACATACATTTCAAACTGTTAAGTTTTTCCTTTAGCGAAAATCATAAGTTGATAAGGATAACAATTTCTTGATTGATTTTATTATTTAAATTTGGCATATATTTTTGAAACCTTAAGTATTTTTAAGCTGTACAAAATTATTTCTTCAGAGTGTTAACAATAGATATTAATTAATTATTAACTTACTCGCAGCAGAGCCAATTTCACATTCACAAAGTCTCGGTAAATTTTCAATACTTTCAAATGACTCAAAACATTAAAATGCATTTGCGAACAGACCCAATTCACCGAAAGCACCATAGAGCTTTCACTTGACAGAGCGAGCTTTTTTGGTTCGCTGCTATACAAACTTTTCGGTTGACCGAAAACGAAACCGAAAGCGAAAAACGAAAGACTTAAGACACGAACTTGCGCTTCAGTTGCTCGCCAGCGCGCAGACAAAGCGCACGTCTCCACTTAAATATCGGAATTTGTAATAAGTTTTTGTTTGGCTTTGCCTCCAAGCAACACGTGTGCCTCGTCCGCCCACCTCCATCTCTACCGCCTGCGCGTCACAATCAAGTGTTGCACAAAGAGTTGTTTGTTGTTGCTGGTTCGTAATTTTTTTTGGGCGTTTCGCGCGTGCCCGCTAATTTTACCATACTCGTGGCATCCGGCATTATGCCGCGACAGCGTCGGCAGCTCGTTGTGCATTGAGTTTGAAAACGAGAGTGTTTCCATCGAGTCCAATGACCAGCAACAACAACAGCAGCAGCAACAGTTGCCGCCGCTGCATATGAAACTTAAAATCAAAACAAATAAGAGCGCCGCAAATTGCATTTTTTCTTTTCCATAAATATACAAACCTTGACCCACAACGAGCAAATATTCAAAAATCAAATAAAGAGTAAAAGCTATAAAATTTATTGCTCTTATATAACAGCCAATCACCCGAAATCGAAATTGTACAGTGTGATAAATAATTGTTTGAAAACAAAATGTTGTTAAATTGTGCGCACAAAAAGCGGGAATTTCTGGGAATCGGATCAATATTTTGGCTGCTGCTCAGCTTTAACGTTTTCCATGTGGATTTTGCCGGTTTGTTTGAATGTCGTTTTGCTTTTCTTACCTTTTGGTTAGACTGTGCTAAAAAGAAATCTATGTTAAGTTAAACTTTTACTTTCGCCCTGTCTGCCTGGCAACTTAACGAGTAAATTCGATTTTTTTTTAATTTTTTGTCAAGCCTCAATGTATTTTTGGCTTTCTTCTGATTTTGGCGTTGTCATCGTGGCTTGATGTTCGTTTTATCTTCTTTTTCTTTACTCTGAGGCTTGGCCACTTTTGTGGACACTTAAAATTTGCGTCAACTGCATAAATAATTGCACAATATTGTTTATTGCGTTAGGCTACCAAAATTTCCATTGGCGACCTTGCTTCATATATTTACCAGCAACAAAATTTTGAAATTGATATTTTTATGGTGTGACCATTGAACAAACTTTAAGGTTGATGCTCTCCACAGCACGTACTCTGACAGTAACAGCCACAAACAACTACTTATAACTATTTATAACGACTTATTTACTAACAACAACAATGAAACCGTTGCTTGTCTCTGCTGGCTTAAAAAACTGACCAAAACTTGGCACACTGACCAAAATCGAAAACAAATGAATACTTTACAGCTTAACAAGTGCAACTTAACAATTCATAAAACTGATTTTAGATGCGAACTTATGCATTTTTTTTTTAATAATTTTAGTGGACATACTTTGGGCCACTGTGCATTGGGTCACTTGTACAAGAGCCAATGTCTCTTTGACACACGCATTGTTATTGTTATAAACGTTGTCATCGATTTTTGTTATTGTGGTTGGCTTCTTTTCGACTCGTTTTTCAAATTTGTTACGCATATTTTTGTCTCATCTAAAGAAAAGAGAAGAAATAACAAATAAAATGGAAAACAAACACACGCAAAATGTGCCTCATCATTGTCAAGTTGCCTTGTGCGGTGTCAGATGGCTCTCATTGATGCTCTTGTTATTGTTTTGGCCCAGTTAATTAATTGCCTGTCTGCTGCTACCTAACCAACTCAAGCTACCGTTAAGCTGCACTCCCAATGCCCCATAGTTCACATATCATAGTTATGAGTAGATATTTTATATTTCAAATTTTAATTGTATGCCACATAATGCGTGGCATCTAACTGCACCTTGACACCCTTCGCTGCTATTTTCGCATTCATTTCGCAATACTTTATAAAGCGTGCCATTTTGATGGGGGTTGCCATCAAATTCATTGTATTCATAGTGTAGTTCTGGCCTATGACGCGAATATGCATTGCAAAAGTTTGTGTCATGACATGCGAATGAATCTGATGGCCAAAGTCAAGTGCTGACTTTTTATTCGAGTTGTGCTTTAATTATAGTGCAGCAGAGGTTGAAGTTGGCATCAGAGTGTGTACTTTACCTAAGGCTAGACTGTGATATAAATGAATTCAAAGTACATTCTGTAGAAGTGTTTAAAAGTGAGTGCACCTTGAGATCAAGCGCAATACCGATGCCTGAACCATAACCTATTCGTTAACATATTTCAAGCATTTGCATATTTTCAATATTTAGCTAGCCCAAACTGTTTTGCAATTAGAACGTTTTTTAGTTTACGCAACTTAAAATAAATGCCAGCAGCGTTAACTTGAAAAGTAATTTGGAAACCACAAAATTTTTAATTGTATTTTCAAAACAATACATTTATTAACGCACTGGCCTTAAGAATTTGAGTTGACTGCGCTGTAAATTATATATTTAATTGGCCTTAAATATTATGTGGCGCATTTTGGTAGTAGACTCTCAAAAAATATTCTGCACTTTAGCAACTTCTAATTACACTCGGCTTCAAAGTAGAAAATAATTGTTTTGACTCCGTTCGGATTTTTTGTTAAAATGCGAACTGCGATTTCGGCCAAAAATATTGTGTTTCTAAATGAAAATGTATTATTGATTTAGAGGTCAAAAAAGATATTTAAGTTGAGTTTAGTTTCGGCCAAGCTATGGCAGTTCGAATTTCGAACTTCTGCCCACAGTAGTAGAGTTTATTTATGTTCAATTTGATTAATTACATAAAGTGTGTTTGCTTTTAAAAGCAGCTGGCAGTTGTAAGCAAAGTTCAACGAGCTCATAGCGTTAACAGAGTTAAGTAATTTTGGTTTAGGCCACGATCGATTCAATGCTGAAATCAAACCTCAATCACAATTCAATAAAAAGCCACAACAAAAACAAACACGAATGATTCATGGCAAACAGTTTGTAGAAAACCGGCAACATAAAAACCTATAAAACCCATAAACTAATCATTTTATATATATATGGAAAAGACAGAGAGTGGGAGAGAGGGAGAGATTTAGGAGAGGAAGAGAAAGAGATAGCACCAAAACAACAAAATAAAACAATTCAAGTAAGAAAACTAACAAAACATCTTTCACTTAATTGTAAACCAAACACGAAATAATAAAATGATGAGCACGTCTCAAGTGATGTTTGTTGTTTCAATTGTTGTTGTTGTTGCTGCTTTTGTTTTTGTTGCAGTTGCTTTAGTTGCAGTTGTTGTTTTTGTGGCTGTGCCTCGTTCGCTTGTGTCTTCCGCATTTGGCGGCGCTTCCGTTTTGGGTTTTCTGGAACGGTTTGGTTAGCGTTTTTATTCGATATATCTGACTTTTCCGGCGTGCTGCTGAGCCTCTTTTTTATTTCGACACAAATTTTCCCAAAAATAACCAAAAAGAAGCACTTAATTGGCATTCGTAACGGAGTCCAAGTACACGTCCAAGTCACCGTTCAGGCCAACTTACATAAGCCACCAGCCAAGCAAAGCGAAGCAATTGTGAAAAGTTAACTGAAACTCAAGCGAAAACAGCAAAAAGCAATTGAGGCAGAAACACGACTCGGCCCATCCGTAATTTTATGCGGGTGAGGGCGGAAGGCCCCCCCTCCCTTCTCCCTTCTCCCTTTCCCATTCTCGCTCTCCACCCTCTCCTCTCTTTTAGCTGGTCAACATACCAACAACTGGGATTATGCACAGACTTGTGTAAAACAATTGGTAGTAATTGCATTCCCAAGTTGACATAAAAACATTATGACAACATCTCTTATGTAGTTAGAGATAAATGTTAACCAGCTTCGACTTATCCAACTAAGCGAGTGTTCACTGTGCCATGAGGTGAGCGCTTTTCAGTGCCGGATGCCCTTAAAAGGTGCAGGCTGCTCAAAGTCAGCTATGTGCACACCGCTCACCAATCACTGATGACTGATCAGTGTTAAGTCAAGCCGCAACTGCAACTGCAACATTTGAAGACCGGTTGCAACTATTACCACATCGAGCAGCTGGTTTAGCATCTAAGCTGACAACAATTGGGCCAATTGGCCAGTATATTTATTGTCCCGAAGGCCGATTCTCAGTGATCGGAACGTTTTTAATTAGACCATAAATATGCATAGCACAATGCAATATTTGTACGCAGTATGCGACTCAACCTATGAGTTGGCAGACATGTGCTGTCTTCCTATCTAATTCCCAAGTTTTCTTTGTGCTTAACTGAATAAAATGAACAAACTCTTTACTGAACTTGAAATAATCATCATAAATTTAAAATAATTGAAAGTCTTAAAGATATGCATTCTCGTACAAAATAAAGTTGTCAACTTGATCAGTAGCAAAAGACGAGTCGATATAACCAAGTCAGACTCAGATACTATAAAAGCTATAAACTTCCATTTTAAAATACAAGTTCTCGTATACCATAGGCATATATTTCTTTCTTCTTCTTCATCAAAATAACAAATTTCAATATAATCCATAGAAAATCGAAAAAATCCAACTCTCACTGAAAATCACGCAACACTTTCGAACTGGTTCTACAGAAATACAAATGAGCGGAAATGCGCATACAAATTAATTTTTACATCCAGTTGAAGACAGGCTCAGATGAGCTCATTGCATTTGGGTGTTCCTTATGGCTGCCATGAATCATGCATAAAGCGCCCAGTTATGTCACATTGCTTGGTGGCGTTTTATAAATAGCAACAAAACGCTAACGATGCCAACAAACAACAACTGAGACACAACAATAGCAACATCAGTTGCGCGAGGCAAACTTCCGTTTTGAGCGCTTTGGGTAGACTTTTACTTTTGCCACAATTGAAGATATGTTGCAGCAACCACAACAACTGCAAACAACAACAACAAGCTGATAATGTTGCAAATGCAGTCGCATGACATTTGCCGCAAATCGGCAACATTCAATGTCGCCAGCAAGCAGCAGCCAGCAGCCAGCAACAGGCTTATGTAATTCAGTTTAACAAACTCGTTTGGCCAGACGCAGAGCCAGAGGTGATGGGGCACAGGTGGAGGCGTGTCTGGTGTTAAAAGTTGGCGACAAGTGATTACACAAATATAAAAATTATTTAAGACAACAAATGAATTCCTAAGCATTTCTGGAATGTACTAAAATTTGCAATTTTTAAAAATAGTGTTTATTTTATTTAGCCTTGAAGAGGGTATTAAAACGATGTCTATGATTCCGAGAAGTGTATACACTCAGAATATAAATCGCACTGAAATATAGACAATTTATTAGAAATACATTTCTTTAAAATTGAACATATTTCTAAGAAAAAATAATGAAATCGCTTTATTTTTGGGATTAACCATTTACGTTGTTGTTTGTTTTTTAACATTTTTTTTTGTGTTTTTGATCAGAACTAATTATTTCTTTGCTTTCTTTTTGATCTTACACTAATTTCATTGTTGGATTTATTTGATATATAAAATTCTTATTTCTTACCATAATCTCTGCTCATTTGCAGCTGGCCAAAATGCAGCTGTTGTGGCCGCTGCTGTTGCTGCTGGTCAAAATCAGTCGCAGGTGTATGTAACGGATTCTTGCCTGGAGAAACCCTATCGCTGTCCGCATCCAAAGATACAGTTCTATTTGTATACCCGTCGCACACAGGAGGAGCCCGAGTTTATAAACGTGCTCGACACGAACTCACTTTATCGCTCACACTTTAATCCGCGTCACGCCACCAAGATCATCATACATGGCTTTGGCGGTGGTCGCATGCTCAGTCCCAGTCCGGATTTGAGGGAGGCGTACTTCACACTGGGCGAGTACAACATCATCATTGTGGATTACAGCAATGCGGTTAAGGAGCCCTGCCTCAGTCAAATGGATTGGTCACCCCGCTTCGGCAGCCTCTGCATCTCGCAGCTGGTCAAGTATCTGGCGCGGCATCCACGCGGTGTCCAACCCGATGATCTGCATTTCATTGGCTATAGTGTGGGTGCACATATAGCCGGTCTAGTAGCCAACTATCTGAAGCCGGAGGAGGGCAAAATTGGACGCATCACTGCACTGGATCCCACCATATTCTTCTATGCGGGCGCGAATAACTCGAGGGATCTGGACACCAGCGATGCCCATTTTGTGGATGTTGTGCACACGGGTGCCGGCATCCTTGGACAGTGGCACTCCAGCGGACATGCTGATTTCTATGTGAACGGCGGCACCAGGCAGCCAGCCTGTGTGGGATCCGCAACGTTGTTTCGTAAGTTAAGTTAAGTTTATTATTAATTATTAAAATTTAATTCATTTAACCTTGTTTACTTGCTGCAGAAACCTTGGCCTGCGATCACACCAAGGTGACGCCGTACTTTATCGAATCCATAACGTCAACCAAAGGTTTCTATGCGGGTCCCTGTCCGAACCTGTTCACCTATCTGATAGGCTGGTGCGAGCCCAAGGATTCGGAGTATGTGCTCATGGGCGAGCACTGTTCGAACAAGTAAGTAATAATCCGAATATTAAATCAAAAGTATATACTAATCATATCCAAAAAGGGCGCGTGGCAACTATTATGTGACGACGAATGCAAAGGCGCCCTTTGCCCGGGGCTTCCCCGGCAAGGGGCGCTCCAATGGGGAGTACCAAGGCGTAAGGCGTTGAGAAGAGGATGAAGCGACTTGCATATAGATATATATATAATTACGTTGTAGCACACATGTGATTTTAGTTGTTGTTTCCTAATTGTATATTTGTATTTATTTGACTTGTGTTTGTTAGTTTTTATTTGCCGCCATCGTCGTTGGGAGTCATTGGGAGTCAATTGATAAGTTGAGTTGAGCTCCCAGCTCCAATTGTCCGCGCCTTGTACAAATCTAAATCTAATCATTAAGTTGTAAGCCGACGCTGCCGGAATTCAAACTATAAAATCAATTGTAGTTTAAAATATATGTGAAATAAAAATCAAACACAAACGTTTGCATTTTTGTTGGCATAATTTGTTAACATGTTATTTTATTGAATTCCAAATACATTTTTGTTTAGGTATAATTTGTTAAGCCTTTATATGTACTCGTATATTGTTGTAGTTCGTATAGTCTGTATGAATGGGGCTTATGAGTTGTATAAATCAGTTTTGGTTTTTAAATGAAATCCAATTATTTTTTAAACACAAATTATACATTTTATATCATTCAATTATTATTTTTCTGTTTTAGTAGTTTATTTATGTTAGCAATACTGATTTAGAGAATTTCTGCTTCAATTTATTGATATCAGTATACATTAATAGATATATTGTTTTTATACTTTGAATACCTTTAATACTAGATCATAAAATTATACAACATGGGCGGGTGTTGCCAGAAAAGGGAGCTTGCTTTCTTCAGTTATTACATATACATTTATATAGATTTATTTTCATTCCTGAAATTTTATACATTTACTAGTTGGTGAACAAAACACACAAGAAAAACACAAAGAACAATTTAAAAATATATATACACAGCAAATAAATTGAATAACCCCTTACAAAAAGGTAATTCTTTATTATTTCGATTATAGTTTTTATGTTTTTGGAAAGGGTATTTAAAGTGCGGCTAGCCGCAGCTTCTTATTGATTTACTTAGCTCCTGTTACATTTATATGAATTAGCTAAGAGTTCTTGTTGTGCGTCTATATATATCTGACAATAGATGAGTTTATTAATAGAGCTTCTCAGCTAGTACAAGTATTATAATTGTAGTTACTGACAGGTTCAAGTTGTAGTAGTACCCTAGTTATAACCGGTTCATGTTTCATGCTCATTCAATGTGCTCTAAATGATATTCGTATATGTGCCAGTTAATGTTTATTTTATTATTTTATATCTTTATGTACACTTAAATTACTCACAAAAGCATTTAATGATGGCATTTTGCTAGGTATGTATCCATATTTACAGACTGTCTGGTCAAATGTTCAACTATTTCGTAAGTATTTCAATTTTTATATGTATGTATGTATGTATTTGTAAGTTTGTGAGTTTTTGGCTAAGGTTTACTTTAGATTTACTTTAAAACAAAAAACACTTTGGCTTTTCGTTAACATTTTCGTTATTATTGTCCACACAGCCTTGAGAGCTCTTGGGGTCTCTCAAAATAAAAAAAAAAAAACAAGATATCTATGTCTATAATTAAGTTAATTTAAGCTCATATAGTTAATGACAATTGAGAGGTCTCCTGTCAAAAACTTTATGGGTTTGAAGAACACACCTACGCAGATGTACACATTGTATATTCAATAATAATAACTACATAGTTATGAGCATTTATTTTATATATATATACTTAATGCCTTGTATATACAGACTTCAAATTGAATAATTCTAATATTACACATACGCCCCAATGGCCAATATATTTAGTTTGCTGCAATTAGAGTAAAAGCATCAAAATTGTTCGCCTAAATTTAAAACCAAACCAAACAATTATGAAAATTTTAAATGTTTAAGTAATATAATATTTTCTTTTTTTTATATATTAACAAAGCTTATTTAACTAGGTATTGTCGCTTTCACAAGCAGTTTGTTGCTGTCGCTGTTAATGGATATTGAGCAAACACAAGTTGGTATTTTTTTGATTTAGTATATATACGAGTAGTATAAGTCATTAGCTGAATTTAAGCTGAACTGACCAACCAACATATATTATGCAATAACATTTAAAATCTAATTTGTTAATTAATAATTATAGTTATGTGTATAGTATATAGTAGTTATATAATATTCGCTGCTCTGTACAAATTACGGTATAAGAATTGACTCTTTTAGTTAGAAAATTTTCACATTTTTTTAATACATAGTGATTTAATTGTGAATAATTTGATACATTTCTGTATAATACGCGCTAATAAGTATGTTTTTATTTTATTATATAATACATTGAATACGTTTTAGTGCATATATAAGTTCTACAGTTGTCGGACAAAGTAAATGCGTCTATATAAAACTTTAAATAATCGTTAGTATTCAAATTAGACTAAGAGAGTGCGTTAAAATTAAATTAAATGAAAATAAGTATTATATTAAGTGCATTAAATAATACAAATTGGAAAGATAATTTATTGTGTGCAATAAATGCAGAGTGCTTAAAATGAGAAGAATTAAAATTAATTTTATAGATAGAAAGTAAAATCAAATTGGATTGAAGGTTTATTATTTTTTGTGCAGTTTTATGTACAGTAAAATCTAATTTCATTACATATATAAATATGAATCTAAAACGTGTGAAATATGATAAATATTTGTGCTATTTTATTGGAGAGTTTCACTGAGATTTCACTTTAGCTAAGACTCTAAAAATAATAGATTTTGATAGGGAACAAGCTAAAAAAAAATATTTATAATAATAATATTAATTAATATGTGCTTTGTGAAGAAAGTGCAATAACCAAATATTAGGATAGAAGGATAAAATTATAAATCATATTAAAAACCTATTGAAATAGAGCAGCTGTTAAGTTTAATATATTAAACTTTAAATATTAACTTAATTTATTGTATTTAACTTTAGTTTAAGACCAGAAAAACTCCCCAATAAGATTTTATTTAGTTTGTGAATGTAAAACATTAAGATTATATCGATATTAATATGAAGACCAATCCTGAGGTTATTGGCGTCTAACGATAGAGCTAATTACAAGTCTAGTCAAAAATATATATATATGCTAGTATCTATATCATGCCCTGATCACGTAGTGCTGAACCAAAGCATAATATGTAAGAGTACCAAACATTGTTTTGAACATAACTAACTAAACTGTTTAACTATAAGTTTATGTACGATAAATATTTATATATAATGTATAAGCTATATTTTTATATGGAATGTTTAATGTTTATCATTCGTGCCGAGCATCAACAATTGCTTATTAATTAGAGTTAATTTGTTTAGTTTTTGTTTCTGATTTGATTAAAATGTACTTATGCTTAGACATAAATGACATTTAGAGCCGGGTGTTTATCATACACAGAAGAATATCATCAACGGTAATAAAACTTGCAGTTTTCTGTTACTTGCATAGTTAACAACAATTTTTCGCTAAGTATGTATATTTATATAATACGTATCTATATAGTGTCTATATAGGTATAGTTTAGTTATTATTCATAATAATAATAATAATCATAATATAATTTCATAACGGTTTGAGACGTGCTGCGTGCCTGGATTATGTCTGTTTATGATATACACAAATGTCAAATATTATCATTATTATAATATGTAATTTCGCTAAATTTTTGTATGCATTTCTGGAGCTTGTAAATAGAAGATTCGCGAAAGCATCGCTTAAAATTAGGCTATAGAATTGTTATGTGATTTGTGTTGTTCGTTTGTTTGTTGGTTTTTTGGTTGGTTGGTTTAACGCCAAGTTTAACGATATTTTCATAATGCATTGTGTATATATATGTAGTTGCTCTGTTAGGTACATAGTTTCATTGTGTTAGTGTTGGTGTTGGTGTCTTCATCTGATGTTGTGAGTGATGTTGTTGCTGTTATATTAGAAATTCGTTAGACTCGGCAACGGAATATATATATGTCTCTCATATTGTGTGTATCCTTATATACAAATCAACCCCATCAGGAACAAACAATAAACAGCAAAACAATTTCGATTTTTGTTTTTTTGTGACTACAACTAAAAGCTACGTTTATATCAGTTAATCAGTGATTGAGGCGTTTAGCTTTACTGCTGTTGATAGGTCTGCTGTTCGTAGGGATTTGCTGTTGTTGTTGTCGTTATTGTTGCCCCCGCCTGCGGTGGCAATTGTCCTTGCGTGTAGTCGTAGCCATACCCGGCACTTGCCGCATTCGCATTGTCACCATACGAGAGTTGAGCAGGCTCCTCGGCAATGGGTGCACTCGATGCCAGTGCAAATGGATTGTTTGCCACGTGACCAGTGGCGCCGTAGCTAATGGCATTCGGCTGTTGCATTTGACTCTGTTCAGTGTACTCCGGTGCGCCCTGCAAAACAATGCACAGGGAGAAATGGAAATGTATCTTTTAATATATACACGTTTTTGGCCTTATTCTATTTCTATTATATGTATAAAACATTGTTAACACTGACTTGAACTGAGTTTTATCCAACTAAAATGTGACTTCTATCATGCCTATATGTCAGAATATACCTAGTTTTCTTAAATGCATTGTTTAGTCAAAAACAAACCGATACGAATCACAATTTTTCACTTTAAAATCATCAATGAACATAATATTTGTTTGCACCGTGTATAAAAAAACCTTGCGTGACTTACGAATGCGGTCTCCTTCATGTATGTGCCCATTATGCCCGCCTGGCTGGGATCATCGTTGGTTATGGCGCCTGGTGGCGGTGCCCACACCTGCTGCTCCTCGGGTGGCGGTTCGGCCCAGGGTTGCAGCTCGCCGGAGGCAAAAATGCCATAGAAAGTGCAGCCAATCAGATGAACACAGGCGGCCAACGTGAATACCGTAGTCCAGCAGCCGGTGGGCTAAATGCAAAAATCAACCTTTGGATATCGAGCTTACCAAAATGGATTTCATCGTCACTTACATTCGCCTGGATGAGCCCATCCAGTGCATAGGGCACAATGATGCCAGCAAGGGTGCCAATACCATTGGACAGACCCATCAATATACTCGCATAACGTGGCGCGATATCCAAATGATTCACATTATAGCCAGAGATGGCAAAGCCGCTGAAGGCCACACCACAAGTCAGGGCAAACATGGCACCAGTCTAAAAGCACGAAGTAACTTGATAGTATAATATAAATCAATTTTCAAATAAAATATATGTTAATTACTTATAGATAATTTAATGTTATGCATTTATTTTAGAGATGAAAAACTGTGTTGCCTAACAGTTGGCTAAAAAGAATACTTTTTGGATGGATAAATGGATAGGAAAAGATATTTTTCAGAAATAAAGCATTAACTGTCAATGCAAGGATGAATTTACTTCTAGGGTGATGTCATCTAGGAACCCAAACACTTGTCAAAGTTCAACTCGCGGTCGAAAAATGCAAAATTCTTAAAAGTATATTTTGGGTTATGGAAAGCTAATCTCAAATAATAATAATAATGTCTTATATTAACTAATGCTATAAAATAATTATCAGTTACATAAATTTCAGTACATAATATATTGGAAACTCACATTTACAAACTATCAATAACCGAAGACAGCTCAACTTATATCTTATAATACTACTTACCGCCGTTGAGGAGTGCGCCACGAACAGAAAGAACAATCCCTCCATGCCGAAGCCGCCGCAGTTGAACAGTTTGCGCACATTTGTTGTGGACAAGATGCCATTCTTCCGGAGATGATCCGCCAGCATGCCGCCAAAGGGGACAATCGTGGTCATAATCAAATGGGGCAACGAGCCCACAAAACCCGCCTCCTCCACCTTGAAGCCGAACTTGTGCTTGAGGAATGAGGACTGAAAGAGCACCAGCAGATAGAAGTTCCAGGAGCGACAGAAGTTTGCCACGATGATCGCATAGACGGGCATCGAGCGCAGCATCTGGCTCCACGGAGTAGTCTTGAACGATGGCATCGTCGGATGCGCTGACTCCCCCAGCGATTTCTCAATGTACTTTAACTCCGGTATGCTAATTGCAGGATGCTTGCGTGGATTCTCGAAACACAGCCAGATCCAGAACATATACCAGATGATGCCAAAGGCGCCATACGCATAAAATGGCGCCTGATATCCCACGGCATCGGCCAGCAGTCCGGACAAGGGCAGACCCACAACAACGCCCGCATAGGAGCCGGAAAAGGCCAACGTCGCTAAGCGGGAACGCTCCATGGGTGGCGCCCAGAAGCGCCAAATGCCATGGCAAGCCGGATATGTAACGCCCTATAGAAATGGATATAGTTGGAGAAATTGATGTTCAGAAAAGATTGCCAAAAAAACACACACAAAGAAATCGCATTAAAATAAATGCTTTTGTTATGATTATGCCCTGTAGTTAAATGTGCGAGAGGGGTGTTTTAGCATTGGGTAAATGAATGTAACAATAGGGAGTAGAATTTTCTAAAGATTACAAGTATATTTATTCCTTAGCAGGGCGACAAAGAGTCTCGATCGATGATTTTTTTAAATTATTTATGTAAACCTTTTCGCAAATGAAAGAAAGTGCCTATAAATCAACTTACGTTTATTTTCTACATTTAAATAATTATAGGGTATCTGCTGCTGGGCTACACTATAAGTTACTTTACACCCTCCCACCCCAACCAGCTTAGGGCATGTTTTCGTTTCACATATTTGCTTTATCATATAGCAAAATCCTTCCACTACACACACCCTTCTGCAATCACCACCCCACAACTCTTAGCCCTACCACCACCACATGCGTAATCCGTAGCTTTGATCTGACGAAATCGAATTGGATTTGGAATTTGGATACTTGCCTCGAAAAGTCCTTGCAGCACGCGCACACAAATCACCACATGGCCGTGCATCAGCGTCATGGCAAACGGCACAAAGAGATGCAGCGAGGCGGAGCTCACAATCGAGAGCCCAAAGATTTTGTTCGCCGGAAACTTGGATGCAATAAAACCGCCGGGTATTTGTGTAATCAGATAGCCCCAGAAGAAGGATGAGTCCACATGGCTTTCCACAGCCACAGTCCAGTTCATAAAGACAGTCTAGAGAGAGAGAGAGAGGGATAAAAGAGAATGAGAGTGAGGCAGAGATGAGAGCAGAACAGAGCAAAAGTTGGAATCATTAAAATTATTGCCGCGGGGCTTTATTAACAAGCGAAAATTCTGTTTATTTGTGTATGTGTGGGCGTGGCATTGTGTGTGACTTTTGAGTGATGTGAACACGCACACAAACACCCAAACACACACACACACACACTCACACACACGTTTAAACTGACAACAGCTTTGCCATCAAATGAAGCAAATTGTATTCCCCTTGCCAATTCTCATTTCTGGTTTAAGGCCCTTTAAATGGTATTTTAAGTTCTTCGTGTTTTATAATTTGTTTTGCGGCAAACGACTTTTAAAATAGTTAAATTTTCTTTTTAATTTAAACATACATTTTTAGAGTCTCAGAGTCTTAAATTTGTGCAATAAAATATCTCATATCTGAATACCACTATGAATATTTTATATGAATATCTTCAGCTTACCCCATTGTGCTCGCCTTTGAGCTTGGCCGCTGACATGTTGCAACGCATGCCAAACGCTATCATGAATCCCACGCAGGCCATTGTGGCGATGGTGTAACGGGCCGGCATGCAAGGACACTCCGCCTTGCAGTACTTGTCGATCTTGCGGAGCGGCGGGCGTTCGATCTCCTCGAAGGAGGCTGGGGAGTCGGGTCGGTCGTCGTCGTCGTCGTAGGCATGTCCACCGCCGGGGCCGCGTCCCTCCCGATCGCCGCCCTCCATCTCCTCGTAGCCACCGTGTCCGCCATGGTAACTCTGCGATATTTCAAATTTCTCCATATTCGGCTTGAGGCTGAAAGGACATAACTCAAGCCAATTAGATGACAGTAAGCAACAGGTAAGTTTGGCATTTGGTCAGAAGGGGCGTTAAAACACAAATATTTTCAGCTTGTTAGAGCAACACACAAAAATTCCCCCCCATGTTTGCTGCGACTTGTTTTCCCAGAGGCATTTGCGGCTTCTTTTGGGGGATGGTGGCTTGAAAACAGAGTCATCCAATTGAAATTGAATTCAATTTTATTAAGTGCTGATAGCTGAGCGACAGGGCGACATTTAAAGTCGATTTGGGCAGCCAGGTAGTGATTTTAAAATGTCTTTCAATTTGATTTCTCTCCATTGCTAAATCTGATTGTGGCTTAAGGTCAGCGTTTAACGCTCTGAAAGCAACTGACAAAGCAGCTGATTGATGACAATGTGAGTGTGTTTGTGTGTGACTTAATGTAAGGCGATATGGCTTAGGGGACTAAGGCAATCCAACAGTAACCCTGGCTAAGTGACACATCAACATTGATAACCTCATCTTAAGAACTTTGCCTTTTTTCATTCTGCCTCGACTGTGGCATTTCTCTTCATAAATATCCAGACAAACGCTCCGCAATACAAACTAATAAGCAGCCACCAGAAAACAAGCCACACTACTACTGTGCACAACAACAACTACAACAAAAAAAAAGGGCAACTTCAGAGTCTTCGTCGCCGTTTGTCACATAACTCAAATGTCTGCAGCCAAAGCTACCCTCGTCTGGTCACGCAGCTTCCTTGCCTTCCTTGTAGTCTTCTCCTGCTTCTTTCTCCTTGCGCCTTGACCGACTTTAATGCCGGCTCGTCTGACGCCAATTTTATGCGCTGTTTAAGGATACACACACATTCACATACATATATTACTTAGCTATTTGAGCATCCGAGTTTTGTCACAATGTTTGTCAATGGCATTGAAATGGCCAGCGATAGCAATAATAAGGATGCGATTTAATGGACCGAATATCTAGTTCTTTTCAATAATCATTCCTTATATTTTCGCTTGTAATTTCTAAACAATAAGACTCGTAGTTGTACACAAAGTCAAGAGTTGGCAATGTGTGCTATTCCGTTGAAGACCCCTTAAAGGTAAAAGAATTTTTCTTTCCTAAAAAGATATTACAGTCATCTCAAACGAAGTTTACAACTTTTAGATTGTTAAGCTTTAATGTATCATATATCATATATAACATATATTGGTTCTAAGAGTCAAATGCAATTATATTAATTTAAAATAATAAATTTCCTTTAAATATGACCAGGGTACTTCAAAATTCGTGTTCTGAAATTTACTTTTCTTTGGCTGTCGTTTTTTTCTTTTTTGGCGCCTTTGGTAAACTATTGCGCAAGTTTTTCAGCCACTTGTTTGGCGCATTTGATTGTCAGTAAAAATGTTGCAGACTTTTTGGCGCCGCATAGATTATAGCTAACTGGCGCCGCTGTCTTCGAAGACGAGTTCAAGTTGGCAGTTGGCAGTTGGCTTGGCTTGGCTTTAACTTGGCCACAAAAGCGCGCCCATTAGTCGGCCAATTGTGGGTAAAGCAAGAAAATGGGGGCAACTGTTTAACTTGGCAAGTAACTGGCTTGTCAGCGACACGACGACTCCTGCGAATGCTTCATATTTCGCAGCTGACAATTCTAATTTCATTTTCACCAACAATGGCGAGAAGTACTGTGCGAAGAAGAAGAAGAAGTTTTCACGCATTTCAATATCACTTCGCGAGGCGGGTTTCGAGTGCCACTCGAGCAGGCAGCTCAGCCATCAGCTGCAGATCCTGTTGTCCTGGCAACCGCTGAATGAGCTCGTAAAAATCAATTTCATTTGCGTGCAGCCTTTTCAATTTCAAACACGCTCGTTGGTATGCAACACTCTTCTTCTTCATCACACACACAGAGACATTCCTTAATGGCAACGAAATCGTTTTTACCTATTGTTCCAATTTCTAATTTGCGCCCAAGGTCCTTGAGAAATCAGTTGTACAAGTGTGTGAGTGCTATCTCTTTCTCTCTTCATCCCACTCTCTCTCTCTCTCTGTCTCTCTCTGTATGTGTGTGTGACGTGCCCATAAAATTGCATACCAGAAATTCACGCACTTGTCCTGTTTTTCGCCCAATATGCTCATGACTCTTTCATTGTTGTGTGAAGGATCTGTTGCCGAGCTTCTCTTTCAAGCAGCACGTGCCGCATGCTGGCAACGTGTACGGAATTCCTGAGCCAACGGTGCGACGCATCCTGTGTACGTCTCGGCATGCCACAACTGTCGGACAGGCGGACAGACTGACTGACTGCAACTGGGCGACTTTAATGACTTGTTAAGCATGCCAATAATTTTTATAAACTTCTCGACGCGCCACAACGCGAGACGGCGACACGTGCCCCAACTTTCGCGACGCCTCCAAAGCTCTTTGAGTCTCCCTCTCTGTCTCCATCTATATATATATATAGCTAAGTACTTCAGCATATTTCCCCATACCCCATTAGCCTTTGCATGGTCAAGTTCAAGCAACCACTGTGCACAGTGGTGTGAGTTTCAGCTGATCAGCGTTGCGTTAAATTAAATTTTGCTTATTTTGTAGAAAATCATTTGATTGCATTCATATTTCAGTCTCGGCATATTGCACACTCAGCAATTGCACACTGTACTACAAAGTTGTAGAGAATAGGATTTGATTTATATGCACTGGAAAATATTGATTTAACTTCAATTCTGACAGTTAAAGAAATAATAATAAAAATGTGAATTACTTATATTTATTGTATCTATTTTTTGATATGAGTAAATTGTTATTTTGTAATTAAACTGTTTGCTAAAAAAAATACTTTTTTTTATCGAAGACTTATATTTTTTTGAATCAAAATAATAAAAAGGAAAATCTTGATTTATTTATATGTATTTTATCTGATTCTTAGATTAGAGTAGACTGATGTTTGTTAATGCCACTTTTTCCTATATATCATTTAAGGATTTATTCAAGTTTGTATTGAAAATTGTGTTGCACAGTGTGATTATCAAAATACACGGATTCGTTCAACTCACCCGCCGAAAACGCCTGTCGCCTTCTCCTTAAACGCCGTCAAGCCCTTCATGTTGATGCTGCTGCTGCTGCTGCTGCTGGTTGTTGTTGGACTTTATTGTTTTTGTTCACTTATTGTTGTTGTTGTTGTTATCGCTTGTGCGCATAAATATTTTGTAGCCAACTTCACGGAGGCTTACCGCTGTATGCCTTTTTGTTGGGCGTGTCGAATCCACAGGCGGCTAATTTGCAACAGCCAACAACAAATTTGATAACTCAATTTTGGTTGGTTCGTTCTGGTTCTGTTGCTGATTCAGTGGGAAGAAGTTTCAGTTGGACGCCATTTAATATTTGTTGTAGTTATTCGTTGTTGTTGCCAAAAAAGGTGTTGCATTTTCACAGTGCCTGCCAAAAAGAGATGCAACATTATTAATGTATTTCTGGTTGCGAGCGAGTGTTTGTGTTTGGTTGCTGATAAGAAAATCCTACAAAATATCATAATTTGCCACATTTGTCGGCAGTTGTGTTGTTGTTACAAATATTGCCCGGACGTTTGTTAAGCGGCTTATGTTCATAAATTTGCCCGACAGTTAATAGCCTGAAACGAACGGCAAACTGAGATTGGATTGGCGGCGTGTAGGTGGGAGTTACACTGGTATATTATTTATTAAGTTGAGAACTTTGGGTTGAGAAACATACATTAATTCGCATGAATCGGGATTGTTAAGTTTGAAGCACCTTATTATAATATTCATGAAACTTTCGTTTCGAAGGTGAGAAATATATATTTCAATATTAAATTGTATTAATTTGATAAAAGGATAATATTTTATTTGCTGAGAAATTACTTTCAATACTAGTTTCATAACTTTCAGAATTTGAGATCAGATCTTGAATTGTTCAGGTATATATTGGACTTAGTTTGAATTTAAGTTAAAAATGAAAGTTTTTTTTTATTTATTTGTTATCAATATTATTTTAAGTGTCAAGAAAAAAGACAATATTTATTTGTATTCCAGAACATCATTTGAAAACTGTCAGACTTTTTTTTCACTTTCTTTACTATATTTATTCATTAAAATATCTAAAAGTTACTGCAAGGTTTCTCTTTCCAACTGAATATAGAAAAATCAATAGATATTTACTGTCAATGGAGAGAATTCTTCATTTGACCTTTGACTGTTCTCTGTTTCGCACTTACGTTGCTCACAAGTATTGCGTAATCCATTCTGGCGCTGTTCTCGATTATGTAATCGCTTAACGTAATCCAACGTAACGTAATAAAAAAACAGCTAACGTGATTGTTATGCTCGATTTATAGTTGTATTTTTATTTTATGTATTATTATTTATTTGTTAATTAAATATTATGCAACAAAATTGTAATATTTTAAAATAATTTCTTCTCTTTTATTTTTGGTTATAATATCACAAATAAGGTACACAGATTATAGATATATGCGGATAGCTTGACACATTACACGTAACGCTGGAAAAGAACAAGCGATTACAATTTTTACACACATATTTTGAAGGTTATATCAGTTAGGAAATGTTGGGTTTTTAAGGTTATGTAGAGCTATTTAGATAAAGTTAGAGAAGTGCTCACGATTTCTAAGCAACACACGCCCGACAAAAAACGAATTTAAGAAATAATTATTGAGACTAATTATAAAACTAAAAAGTTCGGCTTTTATGGAGCCGACGCGACAACATTCAGACAGAGTTGACGCCGACGACGACCCCGGCGGGAATCTCGAACGGACCAACGACGACGACGACGACGACGAGAACGACGAGGACGATGTGGGAATGATCCGCGTTCAACTCTGTCTGAAGACTGTGCGGCAGTCAAGTCAGCCGTGGACCTCGGCGAGGATCAGACAATGCCACAAAGTCAGTTGGCGTTGCCAGAGTGCGATGGAAAATACCAATGGTAAATAAGCAGCTGTCTCACCCTGCAGCTGGAAGCTATATACACACATGTGTATATATGTTGTGAGGGTGGGGATGTGGAGGTGTGGGACTGTGCTACTCTTGGTATATACACTGGAAATTTTCGACAACTGGAATTGGAAGAATGAAACGCGTGGTTTTCAACTCAATTTTGCTAGTCACGGAATTTTCACAGTTTCAAGACAATTTTTAAGCGACTTTCGAATGGAATTTCAGTAGTATAATTTAGCTAAATTATAAATTGATATATATGGTATATATATATATATTTGTATATATAGTTATAGTCACTGTATACTGGTCACACTCACTGGCACTAACGCTGCGGCGCTTGCTTTGGCCTCAGCAGGACAACGCACGAAGTGAAACTAACGCCTTTGCAGCATTTGCCCTTCTTGTCTGGCCAGCCAGCAAGATGCCCTGGTCCAGATTATGCTCACCAACAGCAACAACACCAGCAACAGCAACAACATTAACAAATGCGACCAGCTCACTCGCACACACAGGCGTGTGCAAGCGAGATGACATTAGTGTGGTGAAAAGCTTGTGAGGTGAGTACTGCGCAGGCTCAGCCTTGAACGATGTGCAGGAATTTAGTTGGTCGAGGGTTGTTTTGGCAACAGTAGCAAATACTGCCGCACAGCCAGAGTGGGGGTAAACCACCTGGTTGGCATGCACCAATCAGCAATCACCTCCTCCAGCACATACCTATATATCTTATATACACTGGTGTTGCCAGGCATGCGAACAATGTGAATCTCAGTGGTGCATAAAATGCTATTAACATGTTGCCCAGGCCACAGTTCCATTGTTTTGCCAGTTTGGCATATAGACGCAAAATATCAGCGTGTCTATATGGCCATTATACATATGTATTACGCAAAACTGTCAGCCATTTTGAATATTTTGCTTTTGTTTGCTTTCAATCGCTTTTCTATCTCGCCCACGTTGAGTTCATTTTTTTTTTTATATACTCTATATATACGATTTATGTTGCACAATTTATTGTCCATTGGCCAGAAATCACTCATTGTTCATTATTGATTGACCGGCTGAATGGTAAGCTCAGTTTTCACTTTAAAACAACGGGATGCCTGCGTTTCATCAGCCATTTGATATATTGTTATTCTGCGTGGACATTTAATTCATTTTCGCATTACTAATGACAGACTTTTCTGAATTACTGCAAATTACATTCGAACTTTGTGATAAGCCTGTCAAATAAAGTTTGGCGTAACAGGATAATTTGTCATTGCAAATTATCAGAACTTTTTCCTTTTAAGAGATTTGAGTAAAATATTTCCTAACATTATTATTGCATTAACATAAAAGGAAAATAAATATATTCTTTTGGAATTCGCATATAGTATTACACGAGACTCTTGGTTATTTTGGCGTTTAGATAATAGTACAGCTACTTCTGCATATATTTATGCGTTTCTATATTAAATCGTGTCCATAGCATCTCAGACTTCCACTAAAAGTAGCCAATAATCTAAATAAACCTTAAGCAACTGCCTCGTTTCCCAAGCCCAAACAAGCAATTCATAATCCATAAAAACCCATGGCTCTAAGAGTTCTCATCTCACTTCCAAGTAACAAAGGAGCACTCCCCATTCCTTCTCCTCCTGGCTACGTTGCTAATACGACGCATTGGCAAAACCCTCATAAGCATAGAGCAAACAGTCAAACAGTTGCAACTCAGCCAAAAGCTATAATAAAGTTGCGGATGTAAACAGCAAAAGCGAAATAAACAGCAACAACAACAACAGCAACAGGGGAAATGAAATGAAAATCAACAAAACGGCAGTCATAGCCGCAAAGGATTTTCACATTTTTTTCCATAACATTGGCAAAAAGGATACATGACCAGGAAGAAGTGGGAGACAGCCGGCCAGACAGCCAACAACTTCAGAGACAACGTGGCGTCAACAACAACAACAATGAGAAGAGCAACAACAACAACAACAAGAGAGACAACTTTATCATCAGCTATCATATTAAATTTCCAAATTTTTGGGCATTCTGTGTGTTCCGCTTCACTACTATTTAAACAGGGCGATTAAGGATGCGCATCCTGCGCCTAAAAGCGAACAAGCAGCCAACAAAAATCACATTGACTGACATAAATGAAGAATAATCGAATTGCGCTCATAGAACTCTAAACTAAGTGGCAGACCCGGCTATGGCTCAAGTGTCACTCCAGCAGGCCAGCACAGTGGGCATCAGGGCTAATACAATTCGGGTTTTACAATAATAATATTAATTATAATATATATATATATACAAACCAATAATTTTTGAGATGGCGAAATTGATTCAAATATTAAACTTACTTTGGTAAAATGACAACAATAAAAATATTTGAACCGAAGGCTGAATAATTTTCTTTTAATTTCATTTTCTTACTTACCTCCACACGTTCAGAGGCTTGCTTATCTTTTCTTCGCTTTATGTCTCCACATTAAATAAATAAATAAATCACTGAGCTGAGTATCATGCACAGTAGGACAGCATGCAACAGAGATTAACTTACAACTCAAGTGGCAACCACTGTACTACTAATAAGTAGGCGTGGTCGCTGCCCCCAAGCTCATAAATTGTGCGAAAAAAGTGTCAAACTTGAGTTGACAGGCGCGACAGGCGTAGGATTGGGATTGGTGGCAGGAGCAAGGATACGGGAACGAGAACAGGAATGGGAACGGGAAGGAGGCGCACGTCAGCGGTAATTAGTGCAGCGGTGGCGCCCAAAAGTCGTCTTCAATTTCATTATTGTTGTTGCTGTTGCTGTTGATGTTGTAACTTTTGCTGGTTGTGCACTAATTACAAAATAACTTTTGCCGCCTTTTAGCGTTGTCATCTTTGTTGGGATTCCCCGTGGCGCGTCCTGATATGATGTATGGCTTTTCGTTGCTTGATTCACTTGGAGGGTAGTCTCTGCTTATGGATTACTGATTACAGCAAAAAAGGCTTTCGATTTTAATTACCAAGCGAAAAGCGGCTTTAAAGTTTTTCGATTGCCAAAAAAGAAAAAAAAAATTATAAAAATATGCTACAAAAAGTTGGCAAGCGAGTAAAGTTTTAGGTTGGTCAGCAGGATTGGAAGTGGACATGGAGACGAGTGCTTGTTGATTTAGCAGACTCATGCTGTCAATCCACACGTCCACCCA